GCTCACAGCAACCTCCAACTCCAGGGCTCAAGCGAGTCTCCTGCCTCAGCCTCCCAAGTAGCTGGGACTACAGGTACCCTCCACAACGCCTGGCCATTTTTTGGTTGCAGCCATCATTGTTTAGTGGGCCCGGGCTAGGGATTCAAACCCGCCACCTTAGGTGTACGTGGCTGGCGCCTTAGCCGCTTGAGCCACAGGCGCCGAGCCAATGTTTATTTTTCTAAAGGGGAAGTGAGATATGTAGACAGACACAACACAGTTTAGCAAGAGCATAAACAGAAGCACACAGTGGTGGCACTCCAAACTCTACCAGGACAGGGGGGTTGGAGGCCGGTGCCTAGTAACCCAATAACTGTTAACTTTTTATTGCAATTCAAGACCATGCTCTCTACAAAGTATTTACCTGCTTTATTTGATCCAAATCACAGAGAATCTTTACAGGTCTCAGCTGAAGAAACTGAAGTTTAGAGGTACATGTTTAAGGCCTTCTCCAAGTTCACTCAGGCCCTTTAAAGCTTGGGGCTCTGTGCAAACTGCACAAGGCCTCACACCCAGGCAGCAGGACAGTTTACTAGGAAAAGTCACACAGGGAGGGGATTAAAAACACTGATACTATGTCACTAAACTCAGGCTTTGCTCACCAGTATGAGATGTGAATAGTGCCTGCATCACTACAGGCAAGGACTAACTCAAATGTCCAGATTGATAACAAGTGGGGGGAGTCACCATTGGGAACAGTGTATTACCCAGGCACCCTGGGAACATGGCAATCTGGGTCAACATTCTCTGTCCTGAGACATGGTGGTGCTGACCCTCTGGGGGAGAACCGGTGGGCAACAGGTGGGAACTCTCCAGGCCTCGCTTGCTGTTCCTGTTCCTTCCACTGGACCTAGGTTGACTGGAAACCATAGCTTGCTCCTCTCAGCAAGCAGAGCAGTGCTGTGTCCTGTCATTCAGGAAGGTTCGTGACATCAGAGTCCTACTGAATGAAGGGCTGGGAAAGGCGGGTTTGAGCTGTGGCTCCATCTCCAGTTACTGGTCCTGACAGGAGGGGAGATTCCAGCTCCATGTCCTGCACATGCCTAGTGGGACTGAAGGGACAGACCTGGTGGAATGGCAGCAGGTGGGCAGTGGCTGAGAAGGCACATTAGGGTGGAGCAGGAATGTAACCCGCAAGGGCTAAGTGCAGAGCACATCCAAGAAACAGAGGATCGGATGAAGGACAAACCTGATCTCCAAGGGTTTGGCCTTTGCTCTGAAAGCAGAAGGGAGTTGCTGTAAGTTTCTGATTGGGAAGTGGCCTGATGGAGGCTGTGCCACAAGAGCAGGATTCTGGCAGCAGACCTAGGATTAACGTCCCACAAGACCAAGACAGCCACTCTCAGGGTCTTGGTGTACTGTCAAGTAGGATGACTCCATATCTAAATCCAGGAACAACATGAGGGTAGGTAGCAAGTTGTGGAAGGCTGAATTAGTCCCTAGTGCTATAGATTCTAGGTCTGGGGCAGGATGTTAGGTATTATATCTTTAACATTCTTCCATAGCAATTTTGTTGTGTAACTATGTTTGTGAATTACCTGACGGGATTGTACCTATCTTTGCTTGCATTTTAATGTGGTGAAGGGGTTTTCAGCCTTTAGAAGAGGAGAAAAGCTGGGTGGGTAGCTCAAGACTGTAATCCTAGCGCTCCTGTGGGCCAAGGTGGGAGGCTCAGTTGAGGACAATAGTTCCAGACCAGCATGAGCAAGAGCAAGACTTCGTCTGTACTAAAAGTGAAAGAATCAGCCTGGTGCAGTGGTGCATGCCTGTATTCTTAGCTACTTGGGGGGCTGCGGCAGGAGGATCATTTGAACCCAGGAGTTGGAGGAAGCAGCAAGCTATGATGATGCCACTGCACTCTAAACCAGGTGATGGAACAAGGCTCTTGTGTGAAGGGAGATAGCATTTGAGATTCCTACTATGGTAAAGGAAAGAACTGGGAATGTGGGGTGGTGGCAACACAGAATGGAGAACAAAAACTAATTGAAAACACCATCCACATAGAATTGAGAGGATTTACCTAATAATCAGAAGTGAGGGTAGAGGATGGGGACGAGGGGAGGATCATTATAAAGTTTTGAGCCTTGGCCAGGGTAGTGACAAATTTGACACATGCAAAAAAAATATTAATTTCATTTTTGGTTTTCCCACTTTCTCTGGCTCATGTAAATCCAATTTCTACGGGTCTAATCACTACTAGGTGAAACAGTGATATTCCAAACCATTCTAACAACAGCTAACATTATTTTCTATTCACTACATTCGTATGTGTGGTCTACATTTTAGAGACATTTAATTCTCACTAATGGGTAGCTCTAACTTCACTCTTTCTATATTCTATCCATGCATTATTGCATGTAATTCTCAAACTGTCCTAAGAGTACAGTGATTATTATCTGTTTGACAGATGAGAAAAGTAAACCTTTGGCCAGGCACAGTGGCTTATGCCTGTAAGCCTGGCCCTTTGGGAGGCGGAGGTGGGAGCACTGTTGCTTGAGCCCAAGAGTTTGAGACTAGTTGGGCAACACAAGGAGACCCCCAAACCCATTTTCTACAAAATACAAAAAACCAACAAATAAAACTTAGAGAAACGAAGTAACTTCTCAAGGCCATTTAGTGAAAGAGCAGATATTTATACCCAGCAGTCTGCCTCAAAACACAAGTTCTCAGTGGCAATGCTGCCCTTGTAGCCCTGTTAAACAGCAGTCAGATCCTGAAACAAAAGAGGCACCCGTGAATCAGGCAAGTGAAGCTTCAAGTTATAACTGAAAGCCCTGCCTAATATCCAAATAGACTATGCAATTTAAAGTTTAAGTGAAGGAGATTTCTGTTTATTTAACTCAGAAAATAAATTCAGGTCATGCAATTTGTTTTGTCTTTGTTACACTAAACATTCCTCTCTGTACTCTTTCAGCAAATGAGAATTACTGTAATGTGCCCTGGGAAGGTCTGTCAGGAAATGATTACACAATCATGCCAGCTCCTGCCATCTGTTTGCCTTGGGATTTCCTCTGGGCCCTTTGTTTAGTTTCTGTGTAATGACTAAAGCTGACAGTGAACGGAGGCCTCCCTGCTTTACCTCAGGAGAGAGTCACATTCAACATGATCCAGTACAGCTCCAATCCACCCAGCTGATGCCAGTGGGAAGGTTTTCCACACCACCCAAAATTCTAGGCAGCTTTGTGAAGCCTGCTTTCCCAATCTCTTCAACCCACCTGGTCACATCATAGCTAAGTGTCATGCGTTAAGTACGATAGCAATTTGTATCTATGTTCTCTGGTTGTATTATAAATTAAAAAAAAGAGTTGAACTGTTGACTGTATCCAACACTTTACTCACTTCACAGTTTACCCCACACCTTTCTGCAAATTGATCACAACAAACCTGCCTATATTCTGTTCAATAAAAACTTTAGTCATACCTCATATTTATTATTACTATAACATGCTGTGTGAATGTACTGATAAATGAAAATCGAGTTATATAGCTTAAATAAAACACATGCTTGCTATGTCTTTATTAGTACTCAGCTTTCTTTTATTATGGCTTTTTAAAAAATAATTTTTTAAAAGTGCATGATTCTTTTCTGTTTAAGAAAGATTAGAAATAACATTTTAAGGCCAGATGCAGTCAGTCACACCTACAATCCTAACACTCCGGGAGGTCGAAATGGGAAAATCACTTGAAGTCAGGAATTCAAGACCAACCTGAGCAAGAGCAAGACCCTGTCTCTACAAAAAAACAGAAAACATGAGCCAGGCATGGTCGCATGCACCTGTAGCCCCAACTACTTGGGAGGCTGAGGCAGGAGAAGTGCTTTAGCCCAGGAGTTTGAGGTTGCAGTGAGCTGTGATGACAAATTCTACCACTCTACCCAAAGTGAAAGAGACCCTGTCTCAAAAACAAACAACAATAACAAAAAACAACAAAAAGGAGAAATAACACATTAGTACACATTAATATTAATTAATCAGTTGTGCATAGGTTCAGATTAGAAAATATCAAATAAGCTGTGCATAGTGGCTCATGTCTCCAATCCCAGCATTCTGGATTGCTTGAGCTCAGGAGTTTGAGACCAGCTTGAGCGAAAGTGAGACCCCCATCTCTAAAAATAGTCAGACATTGTGGCAGGCACCATAGTCCCAGGTACTGGGGAGACTGAGGAAAGAGGACCACTTGAGCCCATGAGTTTGAGGTTACTGTGAGCTAGAATGCCACGACACTCTACTGAGGGCAATTAAGTAAGACTCTGTCTCAAAAAAAAAAAAAAAAAAAAAAAAAA